AGAACTGAAATACACAAATGAGTTACTATAACTTTCAAATTATTTTTCGTTCGATTTGCCGCTAATTTTTTATATTATTCTCATGTTGAGTAGATTATATCACTAACGTTTTATACATGTTATATGCGAATTAGCGTCTCACACGTATTAAATTACAAAGCGATAACAGCTTCCTGCTAAAAGTGCTTATTGTGCAATATCAGCAAGATGAACACTTGTGCTCCACACAGAGCAATTGCTGACACTGTTCAAATATTGTTTTTCATACCAAACGTATAAATAGACCCTGCGAGGTGAGAAAGATGTTCATTAACCAAGAAATCATTCTCTAGTACAGTTCATTAACTTAGAAACCATTCTCAAGTACGATTCATATCAATTACTTATTCAGTTAATGTTCCAAGTTTTTCACGTTATATTCAAATATTGTAATAAAGTGTTTATAAAGAAATAAACCAATTTTTAAAAAGTGAATTGTGGAAAACAAGATATAACATACATTTATTTTCACAATCATCTTTTCAGTGTCCTGAAAGAGGAAATGCCGAAAGCTTGACAACTAGCAAAAGTGGCAAACCATAGACACGTGTTTCGGGCTTTTGGCCCATCATCAGTATGGAGCNAGTTACGAGAGAAATTGATTTTACTGCGGGACAATCCTTAGCACTTTCGAACTTGATCGAGAAATATTTTTCAAAAATGGGAATATTGAGTGAATTCACTAACAGAACATAAAATAATATTAACAAAAACTGATCCAATTAAATTACGTCCTTATCGTGTATCTCCCGTTATTCAAAATTTGATTGACGAAGAGGTTGAGTATATGTTGGAAAACAATATTATTGAGCCATCCAATTCTACTTTTTCCTTTCCGGTTGTTAAGGTTCCTAAAAAGGAAAAAAGGTTTTATAGATTCTTCGTCGATTATAGGCAGCTCAACAAAGTCACTAAAAAGGACACCTATCCTATTCCATTTATATCCGCGATACTCGATAAACTCTCAAATGCTAAATATATCAGTTCAGTTGATGTAAAATCTGCTTTTTCCAAGTTCCAATTGCTAAAGACTCTCGAGAATATACCGCGTTCACTTTACCTGGTAGGGGACTCTTTCAATTCAAAATGATGCCATTTGGTATATTCAATTCTCCAGCAACATTCCAGAGGCTAATGGACAGGGTACTCGGACCTGAACTCGATGTTTTAGAAACGGTTCTTGAGAAAATTGTGAACGCTGGCCTAACATTGTCTCGCGAAAAATGTCGATTTTGTTTACCCGAATTAAGGTATTTGGGGTACGTTGTCGATAGCTGCGGACTCCACGTAGATCCGGAAAAGGTCAAAGCTATTTTGGATATTCCTTCTCCCAAAAATGTCTCCAAAGTTCGTGAAAGAGAATCACCGTTCTTGCGATCTTCACCTACAAAAGTTTGCATGTGCTATTCGAACTGCCAAAAGCGAGACCACCGGAGTGACTTCTTTCCTTACCAATTTTGGTAGAGAAATTATTCTCGACGGAAACAACCATAGAGATGTATCTTTAGAGAACGAAGAAAATACCAAATCTTCCATTAATCGGTCATTAGAGTTTTCGGAACTGTTCGAGAATATCCGAATTCGTCTTACTAATGCCTTCGAGAAGAGTCGTGAAAGGTATAATTTGCGTAGACGTGATGTTGAATATGATACTGGTCAGCGTGTTTGGCGAAGAAATTATGTACAATCTAATTCGTCAGCCTATTTTTCTTCTGAGTTAGCTCCAAAATTTGTTGGACCGTGCATCGTTCATCAATAATTTAACCCCTGAACATACGAGTTAAAAGACTTACAGGGTAACAATATAGGAGTTTGGCATTCTAAAGACTTGAATCCTGATAGGAATGAAGGCGAAAATATGAGCAATCATCAATCTGAATCGTAATCATATCAATAATAGTTATATCAATATTAGTGTTGTCGGATATAGTTTTACTTCATTTTGCTCTTTGACCCTTTGCTCTCGAAAGATTCTTTTGAATATTTCCAGCGTCATAGAAGTACCTGAAGGATCCAAGTGTTTGAAAATAATACTGTTACACTAACCATTTATTTGTAGTTGAAATAGTCTTGTAAGTCTTCGATAATTTTATTAGTGATTTTTTCTGCATGTTGTAGTTTTTTTGTCTTCTGATATTGTTATGTAATTCATGTACATAAATCTAGTTTCCCTTGTTTTCTTTTGAAAATTTCCGATAAATTTTTTTTGACGAAAGAGGGGAGTTAATACAGTTCATTTTCACCGTTGTCTTATTATAAATAATTTCCTGATAATAAGCAACTCATTTCCGGACGTTAGTAACTGAAGTTAATGGAATTTCCCTTCTATACAATAATTTTTCTTTCAAAAATATAATTATAAATCTCCCGGTATATTATTCATTGATCTCCGTGCGAACTATCGATTACAGTCTATGTCCGCGCTACGCCTACCCCATTCTTTCGAATGAAAGGTGCGAAGTCAACAAATACGGAGAAACGGTCAAGTGTCGTCTCTCGTTTCCTCGAATCCTTCCAGCAAATATTAAGTTTTTTCGAATAGATTTGTTGATCACTCATCTCATGAATTTTGGAATTCTTGATGCACGGTGAAAATAGGACATCCAGTCAGTAAGTGAGTGTACTGGAGATCAGAGAGTTGGTATTGTTATATAGTTTTGTCGATTTGAAGATTTTTGCAGATATAAATCATCATATAGGAATACGTTTGATGCTCCAATTGATACCAATCCTGAAATTTCCGGCTTTCATGGATTTGTGCACTGAACTCTACTAGAAGAAATTTTCTGTTTTATCATTTTCTTTCGGAAACCTACTATTGAGTAAATGAACCCTCTAATATTGAGGTAAGGCAAAAACAAACAATGAAAATAATTAATCTTTCGCCTGCCTTGATGTGTTCTATGATACGATTCGAATGGTATAGAGTTCCAGTTTTGGATTTTCCATTTTCTTGAAAGCACCACAGATCACTTTCAATTAATTGCTCGACGAAAGATTGTCGGGGTGAAACAGGAAAACTCTTCAAAGTCCTGCCGAGCTAAGATCCGAAGTACTGTCGTATGATCGTTATTCGTGAGGAATATTTGGTCTATTTTTTTATACGATATTGCAAGAAGGATACGCCCGGTAAGCCAGTATATCTTCATTGTTTACCTATAATTTCTGCCGCTGGAATTGCTGCTACGATACTGTAGAAACCAAAAAATACCAGTGCAGGCTCTTCCTTTACTTAAAAAAATTATCATCACGTGAATATATGAGATCATATTTCCTTATGTTATAATAATAAGAGTTTTATTTTGTGAGCCAATTTTAGCTAGATTTGGAGATTCATATATGAATAATATGTGAGATTGATGCAAATATCCACTAGAGCTATCAACTTGTATTGGTTGAATGATATCTAGTAAGTCAATTCTTTTTATTGGACATGAAGTGTTGATTATTTATGATCGGTTTTTATTTATAATTATCGGTTATATTTCTTTCCCGTTCAAGTAACTTTCTTGGCGACACAAAACGGTATTAAACGGGTGGCGCCCTTTTATTTTATATAACATTTCTTTTCTTTAGAGTTCTCACTCCCACACCACTGAGTGAGCAGGCTGGTTTTGGTGAAAAAACAATAATTCAGCATAATGTCAGATATTTATAGAATCATTTTCATCTCATTGTAGATGAAGGTTCGTATTGAAATAATAGTTCCCTAGCATTGGAATTGCTCCCGTAACAGTTGTTATCACAATAATTATTACTATTAGTACTTTTTCAAGGACGCCAGATTTTAAACAGATAACAAAAATTTTAAGTAATTATAACTGTACCAATATCGAATTTTAACACTCAAATCGCGATCAGTTCCTGAACTGAACATGACGGCGATAACATCCCCACATTCCCCGATTTCTATTCGTCACCGTGACATGACCTCAAATTGATTTTATGACTCTTCAGCCAGTCATAAAACTCGGTAAGTAGAAATTTTCCAATACGAACCGCCAAGTCTACAGTCCACGTGGATTAGTTCGCTGCCGGTTCATTTCTATGTATTGGTTTCTTTGGCCTTTGAGAGTGTCGCCAACTTTAATAGTGCACAATATCATTTACTCCGACTATAACGAAGTGGTTTACCCTCCCATAAATAGTTATTACTTCCAAAAATAAATAGAAAACAGTAAATCAGATGGTAATAAAGCCGAGGCAATGAAACTAGCCAATGTAGTAAATTTGTTTCTCTGTCAATTGGAACATTTGATTATTTATTCCATTGTTTTTACAGTATGTTAAAAAAATAAAACAAAAATATACTATGACTACAAAGGGCAAAACGGATTGATGAGCCAGTGGCGTAATGTGATATTGTTCGCACATTATTATGAATATCCACGACAATCATTTTTCTTATATTCGTAATGTTCTGTGATATTTGATCATCAATGTTAGAGTTGAAATCATAATGATATTCTCAATTTTATCGTTTCTTTTATGAGTATCTGCTTTTAATTAAATTTTCCACATAGAAATATTGACAATTTTATTTTGTAGTTAATTTATTAGAGCATTTTTGATCCCATGATACGCAAATTAAAATTAAAAGAAGAAGAGAAAATCATTTTTCAATACTTAGACATTGAAAATGTCACTTCAATTCCAATCGGAGAAAAAATATATTTTCGCCTCTTTTGACGAAATAGTTGTACGGATATAATGAATGAATAGTCTTTTGAAAAACAGTGAATGAAATGAAATGAATGTGACCCCTTAGGCGTCACAAAATTGCCAAAATAAAATGAAACAACATTCTCAAATTATCTGCACTCACGGAGTCGAAATAACAACGAAAGCAACTGATGGAATACGAAACTGAATTCTCTTTATCTCAAGGTCAAGTCCGACAGTCGTTTCCAAACACATAATTTAATCATTATAAGATTACCACCAACCACAGTATGTAACAATCCGAACAAACCATCGGTTAGTAACAGAGCTAACGATGAATTATAAATCTATTCATTATCGAAAACAAGTGTTTGTGTCCTCTTAAACTTTCTTCCAACGTAGATAAACAACAAAGGAAATAAACTGTTTGTTTCATATTCTACCAGCGATATGGAGGTCAAATGAGGTGAAATCAAGTGTGAGTAAAAACTGGCGTTGATTATAAGAGAGAAAATTTGAATATATCATGAAATCATATTGACTACATCATATCATTAACCATTCTATATTTTTTTTCTTCGAAGCCTTGTTCACCTGTTACATGTGAAGCATTTTTTCTAAGAAATAATTTGTCTTTCTTGTTAACCTTTGTGAATATCATCTTTGTGTCAATCTCAAAAAGACTATTGACTGGTACAATATAATTGGAGTTATTATAAACGTGAAGTAGTAAGCAGATTATGCTTCCTGTATCCTTCTTGCAATATGAGTGTTCAAAAGTATGTGACCCAAGAGAGAGCAGAAATGGAGTAACTGGAATGAAGCTGACGGGGCTGTAACCTAAACTAATGTAAGTATAATCAATAATAATTTGTGTATGACACATGACGAATTAAAAAATAATATAGTGAAATTATTCAAATTGTGTTTTATTCACAGTTGAAAAAAAATCAGTTCAACTAATTTGTCTGATAGGAATGAAGGCGAAAATATGAGCAATCATCAATCTGAATCGTAATCATATCAATAATAGTTATATCAATATTAGTGTTGTCGGATATAGTTTTACTTCATTTTGCTCTTTGACCCTTTGCTCTCGAAAGATTCTTTTGAATATTTCCAGCGTCATAGAAGTACCTGAAGGATCCAAGTGTTTGAAAATAATACTGTTACACTAACCATTTATTTGTAGTTGAAATAGTCTTGTAAGTCTTCGATAATTTTATTAGTGATTTTTTCTGCATGTTGTAGTTTTTTTGTCTTCTGATATTGTTATGTAATTCATGTACATAAATCTAGTTTCCCTTGTTTTCTTTTGAAAATTTCCGATAAATTTTTTTTGACGAAAGAGGGGAGTTAATACAGTTCATTTTCACCGTTGTCTTATTATAAATAATTTCCTGATAATAAGCAACTCATTTCCGGACGTTAGTAACTGAAGTTAATGGAATTTCCCTTCTATACAATAATTTTTCTTTCAAAAATATAATTATAAATCTCCCGGTATATTATTCATTGATCTCCGTGCGAACTATCGATTACAGTCTATGTCCGCGCTACGCCTACCCCATTCTTTCGAATGAAAGGTGCGAAGTCAACAAATACGGAGAAACGGTCAAGTGTCGTCTCTCGTTTCCTCGAATCCTTCCAGCAAATATTAAGTTTTTTCGAATAGATTTGTTGATCACTCATCTCATGAATTTTGGAATTCTTGATGCACGGTGAAAATAGGACATCCAGTCAGTAAGTGAGTGTACTGGAGATCAGAGAGTTGGTATTGTTATATAGTTTTGTCGATTTGAAGATTTTTGCAGATATAAATCATCATATAGGAATACGTTTGATGCTCCAATTGATACCAATCCTGAAATTTCCGGCTTTCATGGATTTGTGCACTGAACTCTACTAGAAGAAATTTTCTGTTTTATCATTTTCTTTCGGAAACCTACTATTGAGTAAATGAACCCTCTAATATTGAGGTAAGGCAAAAACAAACAATGAAAATAATTAATCTTTCGCCTGCCTTGATGTGTTCTATGATACGATTCGAATGGTATAGAGTTCCAGTTTTGGATTTTCCATTTTCTTGAAAGCACCACAGATCACTTTCAATTAATTGCTCGACGAAAGATTGTCGGGGTGAAACAGGAAAACTCTTCAAAGTCCTGCCGAGCTAAGATCCGAAGTACTGTCGTATGATCGTTATTCGTGAGGAATATTTGGTCTATTTTTTTATACGATATTGCAAGAAGGATACGCCCGGTAAGCCAGTATATCTTCATTGTTTACCTATAATTTCTGCCGCTGGAATTGCTGCTACGATACTGTAGAAACCAAAAAATACCAGTGCAGGCTCTTCNAATAAAAATACATTGATGTGAATTGTATCATGTGTTAAATGTTATCGATATATAATCACTGAATATTGCGACTTCGCAATATTTCAATTGTTAGTATTCATAATCGTGTTTTGGGTGATAACTATAGGTCACTTGGAATCCCTTTTTCCTTATCTCTTCTTCCATATGCTGAGAATCACCACACAAGTCTGTGTGATTCTTTATCAGCTCATTTAAATTTTCTTCACAATCAGTGTTTTTCCTGTAGATGATATTTGCTTTGGTCTACTTGATGTTAGTAGTTGGTTCAGGCCGATTTTAAAATCTCTCCTCTCACTTTCAACCTTGAAATTGCCTCTATATTCGTCGCTCGATATTGAATGACCTTGATCTTCATCACACCTTCGACTAACACGACGTAGGCAAGGTGAATTTGAGATAGTGTTTTGGGTTTAACCTTGAATGACTTTCATTTTCTCTCCATATTTTTGAGAAGGCGACTTTGACCTCGAATGAACTCGAGCCTGTTCAATATTTGTTTTTCATGACGTCATGTGCGATCATCAGTATGGGCCGATAAAAAATGTGGATTGTCATTATCTGATATATACTCGAGTCCCGAAACAGTGGATCTGAGATGATTTGAATTCTATTGTAATGTTCAAACAGAATGATACAAATCCTCATTATATTTTTTCCAACCATTTGTTACCTGTTGTGACGTACAAGCGTTTTCAAACGAGTTGTTGGATGGATAAATATGGATTTCCAGTGAATGATACGTATAGAGAAGGAAGGCAGACATTATCGAAAATAATTTGATGTTTTTGCATATCCTTGATGTTTTGCAGAAAGTTGGCTGAATCGTGTGATAGATAGCATGGGTGATACTTCGTTGTTCACGGTACAACAACCATAACGCTACGGAGGGCGAGAAGCGATGCATGCGGTATGGGAAAAATTCAATTTCATTAGGAGTAGCCGTTTTGGTGATTAAGCCACACTCAAAAACTTCAGAAAGAAGTGCTTCAGTTATAAGTGCACCCAAAATTGGAATCCCGTAATCTTATGAGGGACACAGGGAAAATAATGACAAAGAGTTTTCTCTCATGGAAACTTCGTCCCCCTTGAAGACAACTTCAGACCCAAAAGCATTCAAGATAGCTGATGGGGATGATGAATTGCAGAAGCACATATAAAATTTACTATCAGTAAATTCCTCATACGATACCGTCTTCGGGATTCGCATCAAATGTGAAACGGGAGAACAACAAATGGGTGTGGCTGATGTAGAGTTTATCGATGAGACAACCTTATTCAAGAAAGGCGGTAGGAGTGTCGCTGTTTATTGGGGTACTCCAAAACTATATAAATTGATATTAATGAGAGTGCCTCCAGGTATTATATCCAGTTCTGACATGGATGTTCATGATGTTAACTTAGATTAACAGAGGTGGCATAATGAGAGGAAACATGGTTTCCAATCGAATAATTGGAAGAAATATTCCGACCGCCATTATCCAATGAGAACTTGCTGCATACTCTACTGAAGAGGGTTTCGGTATGATGAAACTGACATCGCAAAAAATATAAACGAAAAAAACATATCGATTATGATTATTGGAATAAATTGTAAGAGGTGGTTGATCGTCTTTTATCACTTTGGAGTAAGCGCATGGCTTGACACACCGGCCACGATAATCCAATGACCTTAACACTCTCCATTTCCAAGAACAGAACACAAGCATTACAGAAAAATTCCTAAGACCCTCTAAGAGCGGTGCCTATGCAACAGTAGCAATTCACGTTGGACTTGAATTGCGGGAGATTGAATTCTTTTGGGAAAACGTCAGAAAGTTTATTCTACATGATCGCAGTTCTGCAAATGAAAGATCTGATCTGAGATTTATGAAGCATCAATAGTTGACGAGATATGTAGAGATTTCTGGTTCGAAACAATGTTCCATGCTTTTGAAAAGCAGCCATTGCATTCCACGACTCGATTATTCCAAGACAAATTGTTGTTGTTGATATTATTATATCCGGATGCCTGGGTTTTCGTGGCATTGCATTGAACCTACTTACTTTCACATCAACTTGAAATCACCTCAAAACTCTCAATAAGATATGTAGCCTCCTAATGCCGGTAAAGATGTGCATTCGCAGCCTATATCCTGGAATCCAAATGGAATGACGAGACAAGTGTGCTGTCATCAGCGAAGCAATTCATTGGATTCTTGCTTTTTCTAATTAGCAGTTGTTATACCATAAAAAGGAGGTTGGTGACAAAATCTCTGGAGAACAGCAGCGTTATAGGTGGAAATATTCGAAAGATATCCATTGACGGCCACTTGCAGAAAACGCTCTTTCAGGAAGCTGGAGAGCCACACAAAAAAATGATCCGACAAGTCATAACATCGAAATCTGGCCAGCAAACCTTCATGTCACACACGGTCAAAGGCCTTAGATATATCAAACGCAACAGCACCTGACTCCTCAGGTTTTTCGATTGCGTTATTCCAAATATAATAATAATAATGTGGGGAGTGGTCATTGGTTGATTATGCTGGCGCGCCCTCCCGAATGTGTCGGGGCTTCGGGGGATAGGGCCTGACCAGCGCACACTACGGATGAAAATACGTTTATTATTTAACAAAAATTAACAATCAATATTAAATTTCAATTTAAAAAAAACTACGTAAATAAAAGGTGAGAGTTCAGTTTTCTTTCAACACCAGGAAGAGAGAAACTGTTCTTCCACTCAGACCCTTACTACAAACTAAACTTAAAACTAAGATATACTTACTGACTAGTACCAGTAAACATGAAGAAGAAGAAGACTAGAGAAAAGCAAGAAAAAAAAAAAAGATAAAAGAGAGAGAGAAAAGATAAAAACCCTTTTTATAATTTATTTTCACTTGTGAGGACAGAGATACCTTTAGGTCACGAAACCGCCAAGGTTGCATGACGACGCTGTGAGAATTTTAGTTTTTTTGCTCTGAGTTAGGAGATATTTTCAATTATATTTCATTTTCGTAGTTCACGCAAACATAATCACGGGTTTTTTTAAAGAGAAACACGACCTAGTGTAGTCGGTTATCTTATACGTATTCATGTAACTAGCAATATTATATGAAAAACTACGTTTGAAAATTTCCTTTCTATGTCGAGGAATGGTGATAAAAACAGTTTGTCGAGTATTTCTATCATGTATGTCTTTTCTATATATGACTTTATCATGGAGATAGTTGGGTTGTTTGTATTTCAAAAGTTTGTAGAAGTATCAAAGAATATGTAATTTACGCCTGTTGGACATATTGAGCTATTCAATTTCTTTAATTTTATGGGAAATCCTCTGCTTGCTTTTTATGCCAAAAATAAGTCTCAAACAGCAGTTCTGGATTTTCTGGATACGCTGACTATCCATGCCATTCAAACATGGCCCATATACAATATCACAATAGTTGAATTGGGAAAGCAATAATGAATCACACAGCATTTTTTTACATCTTGGCTTAAATAGTCTCTATGTGGGTAAATCATCTTCAAGCTGGTGTAACTTCTTTTCAACATAATATTAACCTGTTCTTTGAATCTCAATTTTTGATCTAGTATCAAACCCAAGTTCTTTGCATTCTCACTAAAAGGTATTGTGTATAATATTATGAGATATATCATTCGTGACATTGTCATTGCAGAACAAAATATCACATGACTTTTGAGGATTTATTTTGAGTAGATGTTTATCACATATGTCTTTTAAAGATTGAGTGTCAATATTTATTTGGGTGACATACGATAGAAGGTCGCCTGTTGATCTTTGTTTCCGAAAGGTATATTGATGGTCGCTCAAGATTATGAAGCGTACCAAATATTTTACTTGGTTATGGCTTCCTTCATGATTTTTGATATCACTGAAACAGAGCGAATGGTCTATAGTTATTCGGACGATTTTTCTTGCCCTTTTCGGGAAAAGGCTGAACGCGTGCAATCTTCCAACAAGAATGGAAAACCCCTTACTTGCAATATAGGTTGAAAAGTCTGCAAAATACTGGTGCGAGTTCATTGACGTACTTTCTATGTTCTATGACGGGCACTTCATCAGGACCAGATGCCTTATTGATATTGAGCTTCATCAAAATTCGCCTTACTAGATGTTGTCGAATAGTAATTTTCGGCTTTATGCATTCTAGTGCGGGAATGGTGGATAGTGCCTTTCTCAGAAAATTACCTGTGAAGTGGATCGCAAATTAATGAGCTAGTAGATTTGCTTTTTCTTTGGCTGTTGTTGCATCCGTTGCATCCGTTGAACCATCCGTTTGTGTTAGTGGTGAAACTGTGGATTTTGTGAAGTTTTGATTAATAGGTCCAGCTAGAATTTTATCCCTAATCATCTGATTGTGAAGTTCTTTGCTTTCATTTATATCAAGTTTGAATCTGTCGAGAGCACCAACAAACCTAGTTCGATTGTCGTTACTGAGATTTTGGCGTCATTGCCGGTAGGCAATAATTTTGGAGGCGACAGCTTGTTCGCAATCAATCTTTGTTGAACCAAGGTTTGTCGTTAGAAGTTCGTTTCATTAAAAACGTAATATATGCATCAATGGATTTCGTGACTTGGAAAGCACGAGTTGATGGATCATGAAAGAATAAACAAATACTGGTCAGGGGAAATTTTGGGATTAGTCTTGCAGATCCTCACACTTAGCAAATCTGTAATGCCAAACTTTGCGCAGCTATAATCGTTTCCTAACATTTATTACACATAACATCAAAGTTTAAGTGTTTCAGCATTTCTTTCCGTTGACAGCAAATGTCTCTTCAAAATACATTTTTTTTTCCAAAGTTATGTCTGAATCGGGAGTGGAAATCATAGTCGGGATAGAGAAACTTGACGGCATTTGTTGAACCACTGACTTTGGTTTCTGTGAGTGCAAGAATATAAGGACTATTTATTTGCATATGTTAGTGCACTGGGTTTTTATTCGAATTGAGTCCTCTGATGTTGCAGGAATCGCTTATCATCATTGTATGATAACCCAATTTTTTATACATTAGAGTATACAAACATATAACTCACGAAAAGTGATCATCTTACGAAATATAGCATCACCCGATTCGACTATTTTCCCGTGATCATTAAGTGGCATTTGATTCTGTATCACCAACTTCTTCATTATTTTTGCCTTCTTCAATTCATCCCCAAAGGATTTTCATCCCCAACGGATTTGACATGATATGCTTTTGTGCCGGTACCATAAAACTGATAATTTTGATCATCAGGAAATTCGTGTTCATCTTTCCCAATATTGGCTCAGTTATAGTCATAGCAAACAGATTTCCAACTTTATAATTAGATGTATGGGATTTTTTCACATTTTTCCTCATGAAATAATAAAAAAATATCAGTGAAAATTTTGAGAATGAGTGTATCAGTGTAGAGGAGAGAAGCATTTGGGCCATTCCTACTCCTTTCTTAGTTCCATTTGCAGAATCATAAGTGTTGTATTGGATTGTATTGTCTGCTTTTGGAAATGAAGCAATAACCAAAAAAGACATTTCACTGTTGGAACCCTAGACATTACAGAAGTGGCGACGAGGATAATCAAAGAACCAGAAGTTGAAGAATGAACTGGAAAATTTATGATCAATCAAGAGTAAATTACAACTGAGTAAACAGTGCGCGAGTGTACGAAAATGGCGACCTCGACTGTTGGTTCACAACTCGAATTCGACCCAAAAATCCACGATCGGACAGTGCATCTGAATCGTCTGGAACAGTTCTTTGTAGCGAAGAGTTCAACATATTTCAGCATAAAACGTGTTATTTTGTTGAAGGTATTATTCTTTCGCAAAATTTATGTTGCCAAATAAACCACAAGAAAAAAGCTACAATGACCTTGTGAAGTTTTTAAATGACTATGACTGCAGAAAAATTATTGTATTTGCTGAACGATGTGAATATTATGCAGTTAAAAATCAGCAAATGGAAATATTCATGATTGGGTAGTAAAGTTACGCAGTCCGAGTGAAAAGGGTGAATTTGGTAATAAGCTGGAAATTATTGTTGTGAGTTCTGGGTTGAGTCCAGGAAAGATTATGGACAAAATGTTAAGTATGACGTATCTACCACCTTTGAAAATGCTGTCATCTTGGCCATAGTGGCCGAAAGTACGATGAATAGTCAAGACACCGAGTCATCATAATTTTTTGTGAAGCAGGAACTGCAGGAATTCTACCGATTGCAAGATATTCATCAAGGCCGAGGTAAACAATATAAAGGAGCAAGCGTGCGCTCCAGCGCTGTCGTACCAGGCCCAGCAGGATCAAGTCGCCGAGGAGGTGGTGAGAGTTGTTCTATTTGTGGTAGGGGAAAACATCCAGAAAGCAAATGTTCTTTTCGAAACTAAAAACAATCATAATTGAAAGAATACTGTAGTTTTTGTCGTACAAAAACCCACATCACTTCAAACTGTAGAAATAAAAATGAAAATAATTCAGTTAAAAAAAATGGATGAAAAGTTCGATATTGACAAAGAATATTCTATGTACACTTTGAAATCGAATATATCCAAACCTTTAACTAATGAAGTTTGTTTAAATAATAAGTTGTTTGATTTAGAATTAAAATTCAGGGGATGCTGTATCGTGTTCACGAGAAATATCCTAAAAATATTTTTTTGGAACCTACTGATATAACCTTGATAAATTTTTTGGGAAAAAATATCTCCACTTGAACAGATTGAAATAGAAGCCTAATACAATTGTAAAATAAAAATGTTGAAGTTTCGTGTTACCTATATAAGAACGAAATTTCATTCAAGCTTTTGATATGGGCAATAATACAGGCAATGAACCACATATCAGATGAAAACACGTTTATTAACGAGTTGAAATTAAAATTTCCGGGAGAATTTTCTGATGACATTGGATTTTTCAATAAATATAAATTTAGTCTCGTACCGAAATTTTGTAAGGCAATGCCACTACCATATGCTCTCAAAAAAAAGTAGAGACAGTGTGACAGATTAGTTGCAATGAATATACTTACTCCTACAGAACATAGTCCATTGGGAACTTCTATCGTAACCGTAATGAAAAAATATGGTTCAGTAAGTATTTGCGGGGATTATAAAATAACTTTCAATCCATTTTTGATTGAAGATGGATATCTAATTCCTAGAATTGACGATTTACATGCGAAATTGAATGGGGACAATAGTTCTCAAAAACTGTTTTAGTCTCTGCGTGTCAACAGATACAACTTCTCGATTTAGGCTTTAATATTAGGTAAAACGGTTCAAATGAATCCACATAAGGATTAGAAGCGATTAAAAACATACCTAGGCCTCAGAATACATCACATTTATAGGAGCAATAAACTAATATAATGGTTCCATCCCTAATACATCCACACATTCACACCGGTTTATAACTTAAATAAAAAAAACTGAATGACATTGGACAAAAAACTGTCCAAATCCATTCAGAGAAGTTGAAGATATATTACAGTTCAATAATTTTCTAGTTCATTTTAATCCTGAACTTTCATAAAATTGACGGTGGACGCTTCAGAATATAGAGTTGGGGCCGTTCTTTCACATATCTTCGATAATGGAGTGGAGAGCCCTTTTTGTTTGGCCTCCAAAAAAACTTTCAATAACCATCAAAAGAAATGGAGTCGAATAGACAAAGCAGCATATAGCATAATTTTTAGAGTAGAACAACATCATCAATTTTTGTATGGATACGAATTCATTTCAGTAAAAGATAATAAGGCGATAAATATTTAGTCCAAAAAAAAATTTCTGTTATGGCTGCAAATAGACTATAAAAATTGAAGGGGTTATATATATTTTTTTTTTTAATATAACCTGTATAAAAAATATGCTTTTTTTTCTGAGCGGTCCCAATTTTGATATAGATTATATGCAATCTAGCAAAAATATGACCGATTTTTTGTCTAGGTCACAGTTGAAAGAAGCTGACATGGAAATAACTGAAGACATCAACGAAATGATATCACGATATTAATCCAAAAATAGAGGAGCATTTGCAAAGAGATAAAATTTTATATAAAGTTTATATATTCACGACGTCCGGATGGCCCAAAGAAATGAATGATGTCAATTTAAAACCATATTTCAGAAGACACTAGGAATTATCACATGAAAACAGCGTATCAATGCAGGGACATTGTGTCATCGTTTCAGAACATTTACAAAAAACAATTTAAGGTATGTTGCATATTAGTCACATGGGTATTGTGAAAATTAAGTCATTATTAAAGTAATATGTTTGGTGGCGTAGTCTTAACAAAGATATTGAAAACATCTGTGAGTCATGTACCATTTGTCGGTCAGTTCAAAAAAATCTCAATAAAGGAATGTTACACACTTGTCTAATACCTGAAGAGGTATTGGAAAAAATTCATATCGAATTTTTCAGTCCGTTGAGAGGTGAATACTGTCTTATTGTGTTGAATGATTTTTCAAAGTGATTAGAAGATTTTGTCATGTACAGTATTACCACAAAATACACTGTCGATAGGTTGAGACAAATTTTTGCTCATTTAGGCTTAACAAAAATACTTGTGTCAGACAATGAGTCTTCAATTAGTTTCAGATGAATTTGAATGTTATTTTATACAAAATGTATCAAACATCACCTACATACCATGCAGTATCAAATGGCACTGCAGGAAACAGTGTTATAACTGAAAAAAAAATAATCAAAGAATTGAATACATGTGATATTCATATAGATTTCAATCGTTCTCTCAATAGGTTTTCGATGACTTATAGAATAACATATCTAACGTATTCGAAAAACACTTTATTGCGAGATTTTCACTAAACAATTCCACAAAAACGTTTTTTACTAAACAATTTTACGAAAACATTTTTTTTTAAATTGTTTAGGGAAAATCTCACAATGAAGTGTTTTTTGTATACGTTAGTTATGAAGTTTTATCAAGTATCGGCCAAATTCATCACATAGAATCAGTAGGAGATTTGAGCCGGTTCTAAGCCTCCCCCTACCACTATGACGTATTAATTGCTTTTTTTGTTGTTGTTGTTTAGTGAAGTCAAGGCGATGTGACATTGACGTGTCTGGTGCATGAATCGTTCAGGATTTTTTTTTCCGGTTCTAAGTCTCCCCTCACCACTATGACGTATAAATTGCTTCTTTGTTGTTTAGTGAAGTCAAGGCGATGTGACCTTGAAGTGTCTGGTGCAGATTTTTTTTTCATATGAGATTGTGTGTGTGTGTGAGAGAGAATGAACGGTACAGGGTTCCATCATGTGCTTGTCTATGTACAAACATACGTCTGCATACTTCGAAGATCCTCCAAGTAATGAATGTTCCATCGGTGTGAGCCCACCAAGTTAGTAGTGGTGTGACGTCACAGCAACAACCGTTCAACGGTAAGAAAGCAAGATTTTCACTCCACAACGTGTGGCTGAGTGATGCGTATTCATCGGTCTGCCCTCACCTCACTCGATGTGGTGATGGGTATGACGTAAAGCATGACTCTACCCTCGCTCTCGATGGTAACACGCAGGTGGCGAGGACTGTGCTATTTAAGAAGCGGGCGAGTGTTGGTTTTGTCAGTTTTCATCGAGTGAGTTAGTGAGAATATATCATAGAAAATGTATTCTTGTGAATGTGGTAAATCTTTTACTCGTAGTGACAACCTTCGTCGTCATCAGTTCCAGATTTGCCAAGGAGATCCATCAGTTAAACGAGTGAGATTAGATGACGCTGCAACACCTATGTACACAAGTAATTGTTGTAATGTGACGCTTCTATTGATTCAAGTGAATTCTCACAATAGAAATCTGCAACATAAGAATAATGCATGTGTACAATTCAGTGATGGTGTTCAAATTATAAAGAGTGCCTTCAAGCGTCGGATTGCTACATACAGGGTGCAGAGTTCCATAATTTCCACCGATTACATGTCATTTTTTAACGAAATCAGGCAGAAAGTTATTGAATTATTGGAATCAGCTATCAGGATTCACAAAATAATCAAAGTGAATATAGAAGTATTTGGGAGTTATATTCTGCAAACGCAAGACCTGAAGGAAACCAGATCATTTAACTCTCGAAATGGAATTATCGCTCAAACTACAGAATTCCAGGAACGTGATTCAGGTAAGCATCTCTACCAAGTTTTAATTGGATGTGTCAGTAATTTTGAATTGTATTTAAGGTTGGACTTGTGAAAAAATCATGTTTCTGGAGGTGAACATCAATAAATATAGCCCACTCAGTGGATGTTCATATTTGAAGCTACCTGAATGTATCGAGTGTAGGAAGACCGTGGTTAATGTCCGTAATGAAGATCAGCATTATTTTGCATGGGCTATCACTTCGGCACTACATCCTGCAATCGATAGAACGTCAGAAGTTTCATCATATCCACATTACAATACTGTCATAGATGTAACAGGTATGAATTTTCCGGTAAATAAGGAGGATATTGTGGAATTTGAGGGCAACATTAATATTTCAGTTGATGTGTACGGTTTAGAAAGTAAATTCGAGAAGGGTAAAATAATGTATGAAATAATTGGTCCATTGCTTTACTCTCAGAGAGGTCTTAGGAGACATGTCAATTTGTTACTTATCACAGATGATTTCGGTAATAGTCACTTTTGTTGGATCAAAGATCTTTCAAGATTAGTTTCAAGCCAATTATCGGCTCATGAAAATAAGAAATATTTTTGTGATGGATGTTTATTATATTTTTCTAATGAGCAATTACTATTACGTCATGAAATAGATGATTATAATCACTTGAGTGCTACAACACCATCAACCAATTTCAAAGTAAATAAATATGGGAAAATGGTACCTGAAAATATACTAACGTTTGAAAACTTCGAGAAACAAATGAAGGTACCTTTTGTAGTGTATGCCGATTTTGAATCATTACTGAAGCCGATTCAAACCACTAAACCGAATCCTGAATACTCGTACTCGATCAAGACATTCAAACATGAGTCTTATTCATTTGCTTATTTGATTGAATATTCATACAATTACGATTTGTCAAAACTTGTATCGTTTAGGGGTGTGGATGCAGCCCAGAAATACGTCAGCAAAATTGAAGATGATTTGAAAAATATTTATGAAAATCATCTCAGGTTTCCTATTTCTATGGATGCACAAACCCCTGAGGGAGAGAAACAGTTTGCTTCTGCTACAAATTGTGGCATTTGTTCTAAACAATTCAATATTGGTGAAGTTAAAGTGAGGGATCATTGTCAGCTTACAGGAAAAAAAAACGTCCACTCCTGCTCATTCATCATGTAATTTGAATTTTAAATTACTAAATTTCATTCCTATCATTTTTCACAATCTGAGTGGATATGTGTGTCACTTATTCATAAAGGAATTGTATAAAAACAAAGATGAAGTGGATGTCATCCCACAAACTAATGAGAAATATATATCTTTCACAAAACATCTCTATACACATTCCTATACGGATAAAGATGGTAGGGTGAAGAAAATGAGATTCATTGATAGTTTCGGATTCATGCTTAGTTCTTTGGAGAATTTAGGAGCCAATTTAACATCTGATCAGTGTATCGAGATGCGCAACCATTTCCCACAAATTGAAAATTTCAATTTAATGAGAAAGAAAGGTGCATTTTCCTATAGTTTTGTTGATGACATCGACAAACTGAATCATCCAATACTTCCAACCAAAAATCAATTTTATGATAAACTCAATTGTGAACATATATCAGATAATGATTATGGGAGAGCTCAACTTGTTTGGAATTTGTTCGAATGTCAGAATTTGGGTGAATACTCTGATTTATATTTGAAGTCAGATGTGTTACTATTATGTGACATTTTTGAAAACTTCAGAAATATATCTGTTGATAAATATGAATTGGACCCGGCACAATACTTCACCGCACCAGGATTATCATGGGATGCCATGTTGAAATATACTAATATTGAATTGGAATTATTAACTGACATTGACATGGTTCACTTCCTTCAAAAAGGTATTCGTGGTGGAATCAGTCAATGTAGTGAAAGGAAACATAAAGCAAACAATAAATTTTTACCGAATTATAATCCAAATGAACCATCTTCATTCATTTCATATTTGGATGCAACAAATCTATATGGTCACAGCATGTCACAATCATTACCAAAAAGTGAATTTTCATGGTTAACACCTCATGAATTTCTCAATCTTGATATAATGGATGTGGACGTTGATAGTCCTTATGGATATGTATTGGAAGTGGATATACATCATCCCCAAGAACGATCTGTTATAAAGAATGAATTGACATGTGAGGACTATGAAAAAATAATCGAAGGAGGAGGTATGATATGCAGGAAGCTGAACACATTCAGAAGCATATTGCATGATATTTACACTGAATTTAAAAATGAAGTCGCATTATCATATCACGACGACAAAAGATTCATCATTCCGAATACCACTCGAAGTCTTCCATGGGGTCATAGCGATATAGAGTTTTATCGAAATGATGCTAATGACATCATTCGTTGGGTGTCTGAAATCGTTCATTCTTTTTCTCAAGAGAGTGCCTTAGATCAACTAATTAATTTGTTGACTGTTGAGATGAATAACTGAATTATCATTCGAAGTGTTGTTGCTTTTTCCTTCAAACCGGAATATTCATTATTTGTGATTATTCCATTGTAATTTTTTTACATTGAAGTATCACTTTTGCCAAGTTACTTTGATGAATATAAAAATAATAAAAAAAGTTATTTGTTCTACTTATATTTTTCCTAACCAATTACTGCAAAGTATATAGCATAATGTAAATGGAAGAAATATCAGTTTGAAAAGAATCATCGTAGGGTGCACAATGTCTAAAACGATAAATAAGTTTGGTAGAAAAAGAAAATTGGGTGGTAATGTCATTCGAGGTCCTCTCGGGAATGGACTTAAATTAACAAAAGATGGTCATTATGACATGCAAAGAAAAATATTGAAAAATACAAGCGAACCAATTGACAAAAGTGTGTAACTGTATCATATCTTGAGGGAGAAATTATTGGAACAAAAGAGCCCTACAAGCTGCAATAAAATCGACAATTGGTAATGTTGCTCGCGATGCACGTCAAGCATTCGATGATAAAATTGCAGAGGCTCGGATAACTTTGACTCGTAAATATGTTGATCTTAAAAGTGATGTAGAAATGAAAATGTCTGACATAACAGCGTCTACAATGAAAAAATATGACGCTTTGGAACAGAGAGTTGTAGTTTTGAAGAAAAAACATGAACTCAAGTCATCAGATGGACTGGGATATCCAGGACTGGACATTAATCCAAATGTTAGGATAATAGAACCAAAAAGAGTGGAATGAAAAACCAAAATTGTGAGTCTACCCAATGATGATTGCAGGGGCTATTGTGTGCTACTTTTGCCAAATAAGTAGACCTAAGGAAGGAATTAATCCATGTACTGGTATGTGTAGTGATTGTGTGTCGTTGATTCAACAATCGCCTCCATCTCATCCACCGAAGCGAAGAAAATCAGATTATCGTCAACAACAGTTACAGTGTCTGAAGTGTTCCGAACCTATAATATTGAATAATATAGGTATTTGTAGGAATATTTGTGGTACCTGTGCTGCCGTTCCAGCTCCGCTGCAACGTTGTTTGCGTTGTGATACATATTCTATGAATTGTTGGAATCATGTATGCACTACATGTAGAAGTACTTGGGATTTATGTGAGAACGTTGGTCAACTCTACCCCAATAGGAGAATTCATTTTTTTCAATGTTGGTGTGTGACACATGAACAACAAATATTGAGGAGGAGAGAGAAAAAACGTTCCACATCAATAAGGACAATAACATTTTTTTATTTTTATTATCGTTATTGTATCATTTTATTTATATATTTTCTCACATTTTAAAAATGCATGCAACACAAAGTGTTCCTTTTAAACGACAAAGATTGTCACATGCGTGAATAGTTCAGTGAAAGAGTGCATGTGCCAGTTGATGAAAGAGCGCATGCGCTAGTTTATTTTCTTCTATGAAAGGTGAGGTATCAGTAACATCATCACCTTTCCTATTCACATCCTACTGCTATCACATATCATTCCTCAGACCTAAATGATCATTATCATGAGCTCTATGCCGCTATATATTGCTGAAGATGGTTCACCACTTGTTGATATCGATCACACTGATTTTGAAAATATTCTAGTATTACATTTATCGAGTCAAGATTCGATAAATGATTTTGATATTAACGAGCAAATTGTTATTGAAAATCCAATCGTTTCGCAATTATCACCACTGAAACACCCTTCATCTACCCTTTCTCTTGGGGTTGATAAGGAATCTAGAACAATCAAGAGAAAGGTTACTAAGGCATCTTCATCGATTGTCACTGCCTTCCAAGAAAAGGAACAATCCAAAAGTGTTGTGCGACAGAAAAAACCCACAACGAGAAGTGACAGATCGAAGAGGAAGCCAAAAGGTTCACCTAAAGAAATGAAGGGTGATTTGAAAGCTGAATCGCTATCTTCTTTCAGTCCACTACATTGGTCTGGAGAGATGAAAAAGAAAGCAAAATGCCGCCTGGTAAAAGCACAGATGGCTATTGCTGAACTTGAAAAGACTGAGCGAGCTATTAATGTTAATAAGGAAACTCTCCAAGCATTAGATGCCAAGATTGCATTAACGAAGGTTGAATTGGCTAAAATGTGTAAAGATGCAGATGAACTCCGTTCAAAAATTGTTAAAGGTAATCAATTCAACGAACGTTCGAGAATGCAAGCTCAGGCAGAGCTTGAGGAGTCGACTCAACTTTATGAAACGGCATTATCAGTGAGAGATAATTGGCAAAAAGAGTTGGAGAGTGCATTTCAAAGTGACGGTGATTAGTTTTGGGAATGATAATGTGTTTTCAATATCGTGAGTTGAAAAATATAAGTGGGAATGGAGTATACAATTAATTTGGTTTGGTATACACAGAACGTTGCGAATGGCTGGGGCAACGTTTACCGCTGCAATATTTTTCAATTCACATACTTATAATTGAAATGAAAACAATTACGAACTTTAACATCACTTCATTCATTAATACAATAGTAGATACATTTTAACCATATTAGATTCATCAATCCAAGAATTTTGTTCCCTAGGAAGGCCTAACCACTTTACATATACTTTATTTTTTCTTCTCTTCAACACCTTCTCAATCAGATATACGTCAGGATTCTCGGTTCGTAATAACTCTTCTTCATAAAAACATCCTCTAATAGGTTGTTCATTCATATCTTCGAGATTATTAGTCGTTGGGGTGGTTTTATTTATTTTAACAATCTTGAAGAGCTCCGTGGTAAAGTTCGCAGTGTAAGACTTTTCAAAAATATTTTTGTACAGTATCATTTAATTGGAATTTGGGTTTACTTTGTTCTCCTCC